CCTTTATAAGTCTGCTTCAGCTTGTTCCGTGTAATCGATCTGTGTTTAGCTGTAGTGAAATGTTGTCCCGTCTCCCTGCTTTCCTGAAAGACCAAGAGAAAGTGTGTGTGTGTGTGTGTAAAAGATCGTATGTCTGATGCTGGGCTTTGCTCCAGCAGTCAACAAGGCAGAAAAGCGTGCAGACACTGAGCCAACGAGTGATCGATCACATCTACTCCATCACCCTGTTCCTCTAAATCAGCTGCTGTTTGTACACATTACAGGTGAACAGGTGCTCAGGGATGCACATAGAGGGACACACAGCTCTCTTTTGGGACTCATTAAAGAGATACTATATTAACCCTTACTGTATTACTCTATTATTTGATTCCCACAGTTTCATAACCTGCAGGAGTTGAGGCACAGTGCATCTCTGGCCAACAAAGTATTCATTCAGAGAGACTACAGTGAAGGAACCACCTGCAAGTTTCAGACCAAGTTCCCCTCTGAGTTGGAGAGCAGGGTAAGGAAACTGGAGGAGTTACAGTGTAACCTGCTTTAATTCTAGGTTTTATATTGTGTTTTAATAGGTGCATATCATACAAACATTTAGATCTTTGTTACCCATCATGGTCTGAAAAGAAAAAGTCTGTTAAAAGGCATTAACATGACATTGATATGCTTGATAATAGATGCAAAATAAGCTGGAAATCTATCTTATAAACACATATACAGTAACAAAGTTTAATTTCAGTACTGAGTAAAGCAAAACACACAAATCACTCCACATTCTCTGTTGTTCACTGGTTTCAGCGTATTTGAATGCTTCTTCCTACTTCTTTTTAAACATGTTATTTATTGAGGATTATGTTCCCTATTTTTGGCATCATTTTAACATGTATAGAATAAAAGCTTATGTCATCATATCATATGTGTGTAGAGTTCATTTGGGGTGGACAAAAAGTGAATCTTTCAGCATCAGACACTTAATTCCCTTTATTTTATTGATTTTTAATGTAGCAATATAAAGGTTTCATGACTCAGATTGGTTCTTTAGGTAAGTACTATTGGCTCACATGTAGATAAAGCAAACAAAATTCCTGATTGCTAGCTAAAAATTGTATGCTGTGTAGAATGATATACACACAAAGCTCTGTGATTTGGTCAGTCATTACCTCGCTAGCTTTTTATCACAGTGGAGTAAAAAGTATGAGGTGTAAGTCATCCATTAAGAGGGTTGCTGACCCACCATTGATTATGTGCCTCATCACATGAGCCAAGGTGGGACAAAGGGTGTGGGTCATTATAACCAGAGGTTTGGGTGAAACCATTGTGAGACCTTGCCTCACCCTATTATATGACCTATTGAGATCAACTGACGCATGATGTGAGTGGACGTTAAGACATCTGGGAAGGGATTTCAAAACTGCACTGTAGGTGGCAGACAGTTGGTGTTGTAAGCCACACCCTCTGTTCAGAGTGGACATAGATGGCCTCTTTCACTCGTCTTTCAAGACGAGTGACCTTTGTCCTTTAGATGCAGATGTACAGCTGAGTCTTGTCCTGTCAAGGTGGCTCTTTTATGTTGTGCCAAGCGTTTATGGAGTGGCTGCTTGGTTTCTCCAATGGAGCCCTCCTCGCTGCACTGTACAGCATACACTACATTGTTTAGTTTGTGTTTGGAGGTTTTTTCCTTGGGATGAACCAGTTTTTGTCTAAATGTGTGTGGCTGTGTCTGAACTACACTGGGATGTCCTGCTTGGAGAAGACTCTCCTGAGTTTCTTTGATAAACCGGCTACATAAGGGATGGCAATATTGTTTCGTTTGTCCTTCTGATTCTCCCTAGTTGGTGTCTGACCTTCTTTTCTGTGCATCCTTGCTGATTTGATGAAAGCTCAATTGGGAAACCCACATGTTTTAAGAGCTTTATTTACATGTGTGTGTTCCCTTTCTTTTCCTTCTGGCTTAAAGGGAACAGTTTCTGTGTTGTAGGGTCCTGATTACTCCAAGTTTGTGGTCCAGAGGGTGGTGGGAGTCAAAGAGTAGGTACTGGTCTGTGTGCGTAGGCTTCCAGAAATGACAAACTGTCATACTTTGTATCTTTCCTGGTAAACTTTATCATTCTATCCACTGAGTCGATGTGAACAGTGAAGGCTTCTACTTCTTGGGTTTTGATTTCAGAGTTTAGATGTGATGATGTGTGTTCCCCACAAGGGAGCTAGGATGGTTGCAAGGTGCTTGGAAATTTTTTAGGTGGCTGAGTTGATACTGTGTGGGACTCCTTTGTGGATCTTTGGAAGTCCATATATACAGGGTATAGCATTTCCTGGGTACAGACAGTGGTATGAAGTGCAGTCAGTGGCTTCATCCATTTCAAGTTGTTGTAGGCAACTGATGACTGATGACTTTCTTTTCATAGTTGCTTGTGAGGTCTCGTCTTAAAGCTTCATAGGTATTGTTGTAAATGTGGAGGAATAAACACAGCTGGTCACTGGGTCATAGCTGGAGTCCCAGGTCTCATCAGCACTGACGATTCTTAAAACGAAGGTCAGTTTCACACGTTAGCTGATGTTTGAGGTTTGTGCTGAAATCTCGCAAGTGCACGGGCAATAAAACACTCACAGCGTCTTCCATGGAAGTGACTTCAAAGGGGAAATTAAAATCATGCAATATTTTTTCCCTTCTCCAACTCAGTAAATTACTTTATTAAACATAGTATTTGCTGTTGCTACTCACTGTCCCCATTTCTGCTCTTTTGTCTGTCTCCAGATTGAGCGAACACTGTTTGAGGACACTGTGAAGACGCTGAATAACTATTATGCAGAGGCGGAAAAGATTGGAGGACAGTCCTACTTGGAAGGGTGTCTGGCCTGCGCTACAGCATATCTCATTTTCCTCTGCATGGAGACACGTTACGAGAAGGTCAGAATTGAATACATTTTGATGTTCTGGGACAAATTAACATGTAGTTTGGATTCTATATTGCTTCTCATCTTTCCTCTTCTGTCTGTGTGTCAGGTGCTGAAGAAGATTGCCAAGTACATTCAGGAGCAGAATGAGAAGATTTATGCTCCCAGAGGTCTCCTTATCACAGATCCCATAGAAAGGGGAATGCGTGTTGTATCCTTATTCTGAATTTTGGGTGTATTGCAAAAAAAAAAGCAAAACAAAACCACATTTCTGTAAAATATTTGTGCAATTTATTATAAACCACAGATCATTTTTGTTCCTTAACAACTTTTAACAGATAGAGATCTCCATCTATGAAGATCGGGGCTCCAGTGGCTCCAGCTCAGGGAGCAGCTCTGTGTCCGGCAGCACTGCTCGATGACTGGATACTTCCTAAACCTGCGTCCACCTGATCACTCACAACCATGAAGGAAAACCTAGGATGTAATACGACTCCTCCTCCAACACCAACCACCCCCTCAGCTACGCTCACACAAAGTATTCACTAGTTTTTCCCCCCCCCATCATGTCCTTAACTTGTTCACAGTAGACACTTGAAACACGCACTTTAGTGGTTTATTACGAAAGAAATGTGCAGGTGCTGATGCACTTTTGCTAAGATGTAATGTCTCAATGAAAAGGATGAAAAGATGCAGCTAGTAATGCTTTGTGTGATCCCACCATTTCTCTCCTTCCTGTCTGATTTCAAGATAAAAGGGACGAAGTGCCTCATCTGCTGTCATTGTACCACGTAGGCCAGATCAACCTGGGCTGCACCCCAAAAACACTGGACCAAACACAAGACTAGACCCCAAATTCAGCACATCTTCCAAATCGGCTCTAAATCATGCTGTCTGGCAGCAGATGAACGTCATTTAAGTCATCCATAATGTAGCAGATCCTCCATATTTCTGATGAAGCTTGTATTTCCTTTTTTAAAGTCATAGCCACAAATCCAAGTACTAACCTCTTGGTTTCACTGAGCGAGAGCAACTCTTCCTAAATTTAGATTATGCAAAGACTCGTTGCGCGTGAAGCGCAGCAGTAAGTAAAGAAGGGATGGGTCAAAAACGTCTTCCTAAATTATACCCGTAAGTGTTTATGAAAATACACCAACCCTTCCTTGCTTTATGAACAGACTTCCAAAGAAAAATAACTGCCAAAAAACAAACAAACTGGCTCACAAATGTGAATGTTTCTTTTATTTTGGTGACATTTTGTGCAAGAACAAGTTTTCATACTGCTTATTGTTTTAATACACATGGTAGAAATGACTGGCGTCAAATAAACAGTTTCATCACAGCCCCATCGAGCTCATTGTTCTTGTATTATCTGTATTATACAAATATATGAAATCAGTGTTACTCATATTAAGCATTTTAAATGATTACAAACATATAAGAAAAGGCTCAGTACTCAATCTGAGCTGCTTGTTGGACATCAACAGAAACCAAGTTTCATGTAAACAAGCAAGTGCAACGCTATAAATACCTCCCAGGCATCCATATTTCCCTCCCTTTATCTGTGGTTGCCAATTTTTCTCTCTGCCTTAGAGTGTCATCATTTAGATTGGGTATAAAAATCTTTCTAGTTGAACCTGCCCCATTTGGAAAACACTACCATCCTCATCATCAAATGTGATGGAAGGAAGGACGCCGATTATCCAAGCAGGAATACAGAAGAGCAGCTGCTAAATGGAAGTTAACAAATATCAAAAGCAGCACTGGTTAACATTTCTGCATTAATACTCTCAGCATGGAAGGTGAAGAGGATTGCTCATAGCAACGCCTACGGATGACATACTGGTCGTGTAGTTCCTCTGAGCTCCACAGTTTTCAGTACTTGATCAAATTTTTGGCTTAATTCTTTAGCTTGACAGTAACATGAGCCGTAAATCAGTGTAAAAGACAACAATATTAAACATCATTAAATCTTAAATTTACTGGATATCGACACTATTTCCAAAAAACCCCAAAGAAGTATATTTTTATGCAGCTCTTTTTTTCTAAAGGCATTTTGTCTTCACAGCAGACAAAGCTGACAAAGTCATAAAGAAATTAACAATTAATAATGTCCACTCAGGGCTGTGGTATTATGCACACTGCTCACAGTCACCGATACCTAAGTAGAACAGAGCTAACAAAAAACCTGCCTTAAAAAATTACTTAACGATTTAAGCGTATTGCTTATTTTGTTACAAATTCCTCATGGCTGCATGCACTAACTGGTTATTTGGCACTACAGCTTCCACATGCAGCCAGCTCATCAAAACAAACAAGCAAAGTTCAGGACGGACATGCCCCATGCATGTCAGAGTAATTTGTTCTAGCAGGTGTTAGATCCAGGTGACCAGTGCTGGATAGAGGTTGTCTGTTCCCTAAAGACTAGTCTCACTTCATTTCTGATACTGCAGACAGGAACAAAACACACTGCAATAAAACTGTCTTAAACCAGGAGGCTTCAAACATGGAGACCGAAGACCGAACGCCATCATAAAATGGAGCCAATGCTGCATGGGTGGAGAGAAAAGAGGAGAGTAACAGTGGGGGAGGACGAGACAGACAAGCAGACATCAGATTAATACTAAACAAACTGAATGACTAAAAATGAAGACTTGGTCATCCACGTGTAAAGACGAGGACAGGTACAAGTGGGGAAAATTGGGGAACCCAGGGTAACCTTTGTGGTTTGCACTAAATACTTTCAGTTACTCTGTGTCAGCCACAGTTCGTGCGTCTTGTTCTGTTTCAGCAGGTTTTTAGTGCAAATTCAGCATCTCTTAAGTCACGCAGGAAACACTTCCTTGCATTTGTTACTCTCAGGGTAGCATTTGGAAAGTTAACGCTGAGACTGGAGGATTAAAATGTGAGTACTAGAACAGTTAAGACTGTCTTTTGAGCTATGAAATAATTTGAAAGAGCCGGTGTATTGATAAGAACAAGTTTATTCACTTCATTTAAAGCCATAAAAGAGAAAAGAAATCTTAAAAAAAAAAAAAAAAAAAAAAAGGAAAATGAAATAAATCTACTCAGAGTAAAGAAAAACAACCAGCTCTCCCTTTTAAAAACCAAAGTAAAAGACTTTTTTTTCCCTGTAACATTATTGTAAACCACAAAAATCCTTTATTGCATTTCATGTGATTCTCTTTAAAGACCTGTAGAAAAATAAAGATTCAATTCAAAATAAAATAATATCTGGTTTTGGATTATTTTATGAATCTTTAAGACTTGCTCACCTGCACAGCGTCCATTCCTGACAGTAAAGCCGTTACCACACTAAAAAGAAAAGAAAAAAAAATAGAGGAAAATGTTTTTATTCAAACCAAATAAGCTGATTCTGAGACATTTTAAAAACAATTTACTTTTATTTTTTGAAAGGTAGGAGTAAAATATCTTATAATTAAACTAACCAGAGAGAGAGAGAGATTAAGGCTTTGGTGTTGTTCAATTCACTGCTCCACTAACAGAAAAAACGGTGTGTTCATAATTCATGCTGGGAATTCGGGCTGTGTACCTGCGTGTCATTGGAAAGCACAGTGGTTTCCCCTTCTTTGGGATAGGTGACTTCCAACACCGAGTTCATTTCACCAGCCTGAAGAGCTCGAGTAAAACTAGTGCCGTCTGGCCAGGAGACCTCCAGCACCTTCACCTCATCATTTCCTGGGAGTCATGGGTACAAGACACAATACTACGTTACATTTTACAAGTGCAAATTTGTATTTTGGGATTAGACTTAAAAATATCTGCTGGGATGCTACCTGCCTCCTGACTATCAAACTATGTTTTACAGACTGATGTGAGAGCATCTCATCTTACCTTTAGCAAGAAAGGACATTAGCTTATATCCCAAAATTTTTAAACTTTTACCAGCCATTAATTATAACACCAGTACTGGTTTAAAGTAAAAAAAAATATCAGGGATACTATTGTTTAGCTGAGATGTCTAAAAACACCAATGACAAAGGCACACATACTGAGTTCTAGTGTTTGACAGGATAGATGCACGATCACAAAAAAAAAAAAGCTGTTTGGCCAACAATCTGTTCTAGTGTTTACTTGTGAGGTGTCAGCTGTTTTTTCAGTGTCTACAACATTTAAAAGGAAATCACCTAAACCAAAGTGGGCGACTGGCTCCATCTCACACAGATATCCAGAGCCTCCATCAATGATGCGTGTGTGAGCTCCACTCTGACTGGTGAAGACTGTCACCTTGGCACCCCGGGCGAAAGAACCAAACTGGGTGCGAGGAATGACCCGCAGCCAGTTATTGGATGATCCCTAGCAACAAGGATGTTCATGGATTATTATTTGCTAACTAATAATAATAATAATAATAAGACCAGTTAGTAGGTATATCATTAGGCTGTTAGTAAAAAGAAAAACAAACAAACTCCACCCCACAAATACACACACGCACACCCACCTGCGTGACCTTAAAGACAGAGATTGGCTGCTGGGCGCTCTCCCCGTGTGCCAACAGCAGGTCCAGCTGTCCATCCCCATCCAAGTCAGTCACAGTACCACCTGTCCAGAACACACAGAGTGCTTTCACTGAACTGACCTACACATCAATGTCAATGGGGAGTCTCCCTGACAGTTATATTTCTGAGGCTCATCCAAACACAGAGGCAGTTCAGGCAACATCAATATATTTTAACAGGCTAGGATGTTCTCTAATATTTTCACATATTGATTATTGTTTTGTTACCAGGTGGAACAACACTTCAATAGAGTCACTTTTCAAGAAAGCCATAAAAATCATTCTCAATTTATTGTAATATTTTAGAAAAAAAACATCTGTATGTCACAGTTTTGTGTCTGTATTGGCTGGGACTACACATCTAAAAGAATTGGCAAGTTAATATATGTTAGATTTTTAAACTGATATTCATTAAGAAGTACCGTGCCTGTTAAATGCATAGGAAAAACAGCACAAAATGTGCTCTGATATTAAGAGTTTACAGACCTGTTCCTCTCCCTTGTGGCTCTTCAGCGTCTCCCACATCAAGTTCCTGGATCAAAGGGTCTGCATTAGTCCTCCTTGAGACCCTGCAAAAAAGGGAACAGCCAAAAAAATAAATAAAAATCTAGTAACAGTTATTTTTTAATTAACAAATATATTTCATTTGAAATTTAACAAATACATGAAATCTAACCTGAACAGCCTATTGGGAGCATTTCCTCTGTAGGCAATATTGTTAAAGAACACCTCCAACTCCTTGTCATTATCAAAGTCAGCAGCGATGACTGTGCGAATAGGTGAGGCTTCAGCAAATCTTCCAGTAGCAATATTCTGCAAAGAAAATTGTACTTCTCTCAAGATACACTTTATTAAAACCTTTTGTTTTTGCCAATTTTGTCACTCCTCTCTTACCTGGAATCTGGAATCGCTGCGCTGCAGGAAAAGTCTGTGTGGGCCGTTCCAGTTGCCATAAACGATGTCTGTCTTCCCATCTCCATTGAAGTCAGCCAGTGCTACTCCTCTGCCATGCTGGTATTGGTCCTCCACACCTGTTTGCATCCGCACAGTGTTAGAAGCAACTAATCACAGCGCTTCTGGAATACATTTTTTTACAATAAAAAAAATTAAGTAAAAGTGATCAGAGGATCTTCATATGTCTCTTAAATGTAGTGCTACATCCAGGAGACTGCTAGATTAGTTTAGCATAAGGACTGGATTCTGGGGGGATAAGTCAGCCTGGCTCAATAACAGTAAGACGCTCCACATACTTGAATGTCTTAAACTCACCAGTTAGCATTTTCACTTGTGTTTGATTAATATTCACATGTCAAGGCTGTGTTACTTCATGAGGTGTTATCCTTATGAGCCTACCAGACAGCCAGCAAATGTTATAGTAAGCTAAGCAAATAGACTGATTAAAGTCAAACAGGGCAGCACCTGCTATGACCTGTTGTGGTAAGGAGAGAGCTGAGTGTAAAAGCGAAGCTGTCAATTTACCTGGTAGAAGTGGCCAGGTGGAAATCTGGGCTTCTCTACTTAGACTGCTACCCCTATGACCCAAACCCAGATAAGCAGTAGAGGATTGATGGATAAATAAACAGTCAAACATAAAAGCCTCCAAATATTTCTAACTCTTGGTAACTCTACAAATCATATATAAAATCACATCATATCAATAAAGATGTAGTTTGATGACTACAATAATAATTTCTGGGTTTTTCCAAAGGTTGCTGCATAAGCAGAGACCACCCCCACTAACTTCTGATGCACACTCAGGCATTTTGTTCTATAAGCTGGCCTGAAATATGACACAAACAGTTCAGAAAAGTGAAACAAAGGTTCCTCCTAGCTGGCATTCACAGAGTAAAGAGCTAAAATTAGAAACCAAATAATGGAAGAGTAAGATGAGACAAAGAATGTCTGATGTGAAACCATAAGTTGAAGGACAGACTGCAGAAAGTACTACTGAGTTAGGCTTCATGTTGCCTTCCCACTTCATTCTCACCTGTCTGTCTTGCCATGTCAACAAAAGTCCCATCTCCATTATTCTTGAATAGGAAGTTAGGTCCATTTTCATTGTCACAGAACACATCAGACCTCGACTCGCTCAGGATTGGTCCAACGACCACACCGCGACCACCTGACCAACGAGCCAACAGTGAAGCTTTTCAGTTGACAACTTCAAAAAAAAAAAAAAAATCCCATGTTTCAGGTAAACACTGTGACATCTCACCTGTGTACCTGTTGACTCCGGCCTCAGCAGCTACGTCAGACAGCGCGATGATGCCCTTGCTCACATCACTGGCAGCCTTGTCCATTTCTAAGAGAGCGTGGGGGCCAACGTTCCCACTGGCGTAGTTTGCCACGTAGACTGAGTAACGGCCTGTTCCCTGCACAGAAACATCAGCAACTTAGAATAAAGTATAATGTACTCAAATGCAATGAGATGGAAGAAATAGGTGGGTTTACTCACCTTTCTATCAACACATGCAACTGAACGTCCCGCCATCCGATTAGCAACACCACGACGTACATTCAGCTCATCGCTGAGCAGATCTTCAAAGCGACCATTACGAAACTTGAAGAGCTTGTCAGTGTATGTTGCTCGTCCTTCACGGAGAAAGAAAACTTATTTGGTTACCTCAAATTATTTTGATGACACTTTAATTTCAGGATGACTTTGCAATATCATATTTACCAGAGTAGGCATTGTTTGTATTAAGAAAATAGATTTCTTCTCGTCCATCTCCATCCACATCGCAGGCGGCAACTCCAATAGCATTTCCTGCCTGGTCTCTCAGAGCATAGTATGGAGAGTTACTGTCATCAATAGCAATGTTTACCAGCCTTTTTTGAGTCCTGTCATACTTCAGCACCAGGTTGGGCCCATTGTACCTGAGAGAAAACGTGATTTTGATTTATTTTTTATCACAAATTTCTGCATAAAAATCCTCACACATGGTAATACACTAACACTCATACTTACCCTGCCACCACCACTTCCAGGTCACCATCACCATCCACATCTGTCACAGCCATCCCATAGTTGAGTTGTGTGGGATTGTGTAGATTGTCCGGGGGAAGCATGGTCTGCGTAACAACCTGAAGCATGGGATTCAGGTTTTGGGCATGGGAGTGATGCCAGAGTGTCACTAGTAGGAGCAGCAGGCCCGAGCCCCACATTATTCCAACCTGGCGAGACACGGAAGTCAGGAAGATATCTTGTTTTGAACAAAACCTGCAAGAAACATCTGAAACTGAGAATTATAATACAAAACAAAACAAAACAAAACAACATTTCTTAACAATTGAAAATATATTTGAAAATAGAATTATCCGAATTGATCGAAAGCTATCAAATAAGTAGAAGAAAAAGTAAATAAGAAGAAAAACAAAAACATAACCACCAGATATGGTTTTAAACGTGGAGTGTTTCTGTCTAAATCTACCAACCAAAAGCCTTTAATTCCGTTAAGAAAGCTATAAAATTTCAAGACGTTAAAAAAACAAAACGCAAAAACTACTAATATGTTATTAATGCTCTCCAGCAAATACATTTTCTGTATTTCTGACTTGTTTTTCCTCCAGCGTAATGACATGCAATTCACTGATTTTAATAAAAACATGGATCAAGCCTTTTCCCCATTTTGTGCAGAGCAGAGGCGTGTGCAAGAATTCATTCCCTTCATTATGGTAATACCGTCTTACCGTATCAAGGTGTGGAGGAGAAAATGTGTCTCCTGCAGTTTAGATGATGTGTTTGTAGTTGTAAAGCGAGCTTGTCAACGCCTCTATTACACAAATAAGTTTCATAAATTACAAATTTACGAAACACCTTGTGTAACGGGGAGAATACTGTCCAATCAGCGAAGAACTGTCTGACCGATGAAGATGGTGACCAATGGCTAAGCTGAATTTCTGTGCACGTGTCTCTTGCACCCGAGGGTTTGGTTTGTTTGTAGTTTATGTTAAACGATGGCGCAGAAAATATGGATTCGGTAGAAAGTATATTTACCATTTATTTTGGGGAAACTCGTTGAACTACAAAGGAAAAGAAAATTCGTTGGAAAAAGGAACTAATAACCTGGTAGTTATTCCGGATTTCGGAGCGGCAGTGCTGTAGAAGAACACAATTTCCCACTACGCTTTGCGCTAGGATTTGCTTGCGTCAAGTGTGCGACGAAAGTCTGTTGTTAAACAAATCATAAACGGGTAAGCCGACAGAGTAAATTTATTTGATTTAATTATAGATTAAATATTCTGAGTGAAAATAAATGAACATGAATGAATGTAACATTAACCGCTATTTATTTTATATTTATTTCTTCATTTAAAAATATCTTTACAAGCTACACGGGAGGAAGTTTAGTTAGCTAACTGAAGCTAGTTATTCAAATCCAGTTTATTTAGAAGGCTGCTTGCCGCGTACCTGGCTGCTTCATTCTTTAATAAAGTATTTAAAGTAAATTTAGAGTGTTTAGAAAATCTGTGAAGGTCTGACAATGTTCATGTTCTCGTTCCTCCATGACCCAGATACTTTAATATAATTTAACCATGGATGATGTGGAGCTTAAAGAAGACTGTGGTCCAACTCAACCAAGACCTACACCTCCCTCTCAATCAAAGAGGCCAAGTCAGCCTTTGTACGTCCCCAAACAACGACTTCATGCCTCGAAAGAGAAAGCTCAGACTCAGGGAGAAGTTAAACCAAAAACCAGGCCTCGCTACACAGACAAAGCACGAAAGAACGCCAAGAACAAGAAGGACAAAGCTGGAGGAGCGAATAAACCATCGCCCGCTGGGGGAGACGGAGATGGAGGTGAAGCGCAAAACAACGACGTTAAGCCAGATGTGAAGGAGGACCGATTACAGGGTTTAGAGGCTGAGGTTAACGGGGAGTCTTCAGCCAAAGTGGAGGCAGGCGATACTGCACAGCAGGAAGAGGAGAGCTGGGACACCTTGTTCAACGATGATGGAGACTGTCTGGATCCACATCTGCTTGAAGAGGTGAGAGCTTGATTTAGGTTTTGATAATCAAAACCCAAGACAATCCAATCCAACTTTATTTATATAGCACTTTAAAAACAACAAAGTTGACCAAAGTGCTTTCAATAATAAAACAGAGATAACAGTTAAAAACCATACATTAAGCAGACAAAAAAATAAATATAAATACCAATAAAATAAATACATAAATGGAAAAAGAAGATAAAAAAAAATCAGTATATATATTAAATATTAAAACATGAGTAAAATAGACAATAAAATATACAATGAATAAAATTAACAAAATATAAAAGATTAGGAGTGACCAACAGCTGACTAAAACTGACTACAAGCTGACTCTGGTACTACTCCTAAAAAGCCTTAGAAAAAAAGTGTGTTTTTAAAAGTGACAAGCAGAATAATGTCCACCCAGATTCACATACACACAGCTGATAATTAACCTAAAAAAAATCCTATTTAATATGATGCAAAACAGATCTTTTTCTCTTCTCATCATTGTCTTCTCTCCTGCCTGCCTTGCATGCACAGCTGGCTTTGGAGGAAGGAAAAAAGAAGGAGTCAATCCAAGAGCCTAGGTTTGATTACTACAACATGGACAGAGGCAGTTATGATGATGATGATGATGATGATGATGATGACGTTGACCTCACAGAGGATGAACTATCTCATATTGTAGAGATCTACGATTTCCCTACAGAGTTCAAAACAGAAGACCTTCTTAAGCTGTTTCAGTGCTACCAGTAAGTCTCTAACCATGTTAGAATTGTACAAACTCTGTTTTTGCCTTATATACTGTATGTCCTTTTATATTTGCAGAGATGTCAGTAAACCTCTGCATCTATTTTTTTTTTTTTTATCATATACTGAGCCCCGGTGCAGCCCTGAGTTCAGCCATTGTCTGAAACCAGCTGCTGCAGCTCTTTTTTTGTCTTGGTGCTAGCTGTGTTCTTCTAATTGGGTGGGACTGCAGGTGAGAGGGGCTTCTGTGCTCACTCCAAGATCACTGTTCCACCAGGCTGTTCTTGACATCATGCAGATGAAGTAGAAGAAACTTTTTTAATAGAGCATTTAGATGAGTATCTACCATTGTAACAGTATATGTTAGAAAATAAGGAAAGGATAATAGGTTTACTTTAAGACAAAAAAAGTTGTGAAATCTGTGAAAGAGCACAAGTATGTGATTTTTACATCTTTAGGGAGCACGGTCTTCCTTTTAGAGCTAATGCTACTGAGGGCATGTTGTGAAATATTCTTACTACCTTGTGTGATTTCTGACTGTCTTTTCAGAAAGAGAGGATTTGACATTAAATGGATTGATGACACACATGCCCTCGGCCTTTTCTCAAGCCCCATAGCAGGTAAGTAAAGCTCTGCCTCGCATTTAAGGCAATTACAGTTCATTATGCTCTGCATTAAGTGTCATTGCTGTGATTCATCATCTTGCTACGATGTTGTAAGTAGAATTGTTTTAGTAAAGAAAATCCTGGCCAACAATCTTAATGCTGTTTGCTCCTGAGCTTTTGAGATTGTGTCTCTGTTACTTGGGCCATCGTTTTTCTGACTTCAGATTAGAAAAACACATTTTTCAGTTGTAAGGAGATATTAAACTCACTGACTATTACATTTCGTTCATTTTCCCTTTTAAGCTCGTGAAGCTCTGAGATCCAAGAATCCACTGATGAAGTTGCGACCACTTTCCAAATCTTCCTCTGCAACAAAGGCCAAAGCCCGTAGCTGCTCAGGTGCGATTGCACATATCCGTGTTTGTCATTTTTTATAATTTTGTGTTTGTATATTAATAAAGCAAATCCATATTTGTTGAGAAAACCCTTTAGCTTTATATCCAATTCTCCAGTACACTACCATTTAGTCTTTCAAGGTACTCGGCATTCTTGACTGTGGGTTTGGTTTGTGTCTGTCGCTTCCTCAGACTGAAACTGAATTTCTACTTCGAATTGAATCTCACCTATGGTGCAGCCTACACAAATAGCTGATGTTGTTGCCAGCGTTTATACTTATGCCTGGTTTGCCTGCTTTACTCTTCAATTTCTCCACCGAAATACTGATTGGTGGTTCAGTTTTTCTCTTTGAGATGATCCGTACTCTTTCAGTCAGCTAAAGAAAATGACAGCAGAAGAAGAAATGAATGGAAATATGTACAATGAGCCAGTTACGTATGTTACAGGCTTAATTAAGATGACGTGGTTTTGGGGTTATTGTGATGTTTGTAAAGTGTATTTTGGTGCCATCCAGGTTGTATTACACCACAAATTAAACATTTAAAGTGCTTAAAAACTGTTCTGTATCTCCCACATTTATATGTATCCTCCTTTCCTCTTGCCCCCAGACTACCTCCTGCCTGCTAAAGAGAGACCTCAGACGAGTGCAGCACTGGCTCGGAAGCTTGTGATCGGTGCCCTCGGTGTAAAGAGCAACCTCACAAAGGAGCAGCGTGAGGCAGAGAGGAAGAAACTCCAGGAAGCAAGAGGTACGTTGTACTTCTTTGGGTCTCCACTTACTTTTTGGGCTGAAGTCCTATCTTGGGTGGGCGGTTGCTAAACGAATTATGGACTCGGTAGCTTACGCGTGAGGGTCATACAGGGTGCTCAGTTAAACTGAGACATAAGTACAAATAATTACTGTCCCAATAGTTGTATCACAAAGGTACCACCACAAGTGGGAGCTGTTTTCATACTTAACTGAAGAAAGTGGAAAGTTTCAAATGTAGAGCCAAAGGAAGTCCGTCCATTGCCGTGTAGGTCACAGTAAATCTATAATCAGTAAAGCAACCATTTCCCTTCACAGATGGAAAATAAGTATATAGGGCCAGAAAACAACCACTGGCCATCCAATGACAGTCAGTCCAGGAAGTCAGGAAGTAAAGCACACTAAAAAAAGCTCCTTTGTTCTCAGTTTAGGCTCACTGCTGCACTACCATCACTGAACAAATATTAAACTTGGTGTTGGAACAGATGCGATGTATGGTTCTTTGTGAAGATTAATATACAATCGGCTTCAGCTCTTTACTGCTCTTCATGCGGCAAAGACAGTGATATAAATTTAAGACTTTTGTTTGTCGTGTGATTTATCTTTCAGAACAAAAGCGCCTGGCAGCCAAGCAGAGGGAAGACGCTTGGGAGGGAAAGTAACTGGACAAACCTCTATTTTTTTTCCCTTTAAATTCCTTGATTCAGCAGAGGCTTAAATCATTTCTGTTTCATGTAATGCTCTGGTTATTTAGCTGGCAACTCCTTCGTACAGGCATATTTCCGAGAAATGATATTTTTTTTCAAACTGTTTCCTGAGAGGCTTTTACCGTTTCCTTTGTCATTCAGTGTCTGACATCATAAAATGCTACATGATCAGATCACCTTCAATTATCTGTGAACTCACCTGCACTCTATGTATTGTAAGCACAGTCTGTAGTCAAGCACTGAAGCTAATGGCTCAGTTAACAAGTAGCGCGTTGACTGAAATACGTATCTGTACACATCCTCGTGTTTGGGTTTTTAAATGTTTTAAGATATAAAAATGACGTGATGCTTTCAGTTAAATGTCACTAAAGTTCAGTCATGTTGATTCGTTAAATTTTTATGCGTCACAACATTGTTGATTTTATCCAGTTTGAGTGATTAAATTGAAGGTGGTGTCATTAAAAATGAATGCTGCATTGTTTGCAGTTTAAGTTTTATGAAAGTATTAACTTACTTCTAAGCCATCGTGTCAGGTGGTTTCCGGTGTTTGAACTGATACCCGATATTATGTATAATGTTTTGCTCAACGCAGCTGCTGTTATGTATGTCCAGTAAAAAAAACAAAGAAAACTGCTCGACTCCGTCTGTT